AGGGGATGTTGGGAGGGCATGTTTGTCATACACCTGTTCATGAATGACTGTAAAATGTGGAATGTCAAAAATGCTCAATAAATTGTGTTGAAAAAAATAAAATCCGGTCCCGCGGATCACAAAGTAAACTGTGTCAAAGCGATGCTCTGAACTACATCATGGATCTATAATAATAACATGCACCACGTCTCTGAAGCTTCAGTGAACGCCACACGCTGCAGCCGCTTCGGGAGCGAACGTCACCGCACACGGCACCAACACACGCTTTAAAAACTAACTCGCACACGCTTTGGAGCTTGCTCATGTTCCACACAAACTTGTGCATGGGTGTTTCATGTTGTTTTCTTTCATTGTGACGCGGCTTTGCCCGACAGCTGCTTTACCAACAGCTATCGTAATGCATCATGGGATCACCCTCGCTCGCAAGTGAGCTCCGGACCACACTTGCGCTCAATGGTGGTTTTTAGGGGTGTGAAGGCCCTTGCCTCTTCTCCCTAAGTATTGGGACACCCTTCCACTCCCGTGGGCACGCGCAAACTCTAGGGCAAGTGTGCTTTTTAAGGGCAAGGGTGAGAATTGGGACGGGGCCTTACTACAGTCTGACAGCGTAACAGTACTTTGACTACAGTCTGACAGTGTACGAGTACTCTTTCTACAGTCTGACAGCGTAACAGTACTCTTACTACAGTCTGATAATTTCAAACAGTATAAACTTTGATCATATCCTGCTAGGCTTGACGACAATCATCCAGCAAAATTACATGTTTTAAATCTCATAAAATGCCTTAGTTTCTTCTAATCTTCCAAACAAAGATCCCTCTTACAGAATCCTGTTTGAAGTTCAGATATAGAATTATTTTTGTTTTGAAATACGTCTGAACTGCGTTTTCACGGCTTTAATCAAAGCCATAAAACGCCGTTGTGTGGAACAATGTCTGAATCTGATTTTAAGTACATTAGATGCTCACAGTGGCCTGACTTTGACCATGCTTTTCTCATCTCTGCTGAGACAAACACATCACCTCAGCTCCCTTTGTCACGAGGCGAAGTGAATGAGGAAGGACTCAAAATGCAGGAATGCCAAAAAATAACATTTAATGAAAACAAAATAAAAGTCCAGGTTAAAACTCAAAATCCAAAGGCACAAGCAGCAACGAAACAGGAACAGACGTGGACAAGACATTGACAATACAATGGAGCAGCAGCATGGGGAGAGGAGCACAGGGTACATATAGACACAGACACAGGTGAAACACATCAGGGCGGGGCAGACAATCAAGACAGGGGCAAACAGGACAGGAAGTACAACTAAAACCAAACCACAGAGAACAATGTCAAAATAAAACAAAAACACAAAAATAAAACCCACACCATGACACCCTTTCTATAGCCTACACACACACACACACACACACACACACATATTTCATCTTTACATCCGAGCTCACCAACGAACCCCCTGATTACGTTTGCATTACTGCTTGTTGTAAATGCATCCTCAAACATACACGTCACATTGTTCTCACAGCTCCTTTGACTCAAGTGCTGCTATTATCTTGTCACTGGCTTCTGGAGCCGCAGGAGACGGCCGTACGTTAACCGCGATCCCTCATCTTTAGAATCAGCCCGCCCTTCACCGCGTCACACAAACTGGTGATTTACGGTCACGCATAAATGGCTCGCCAACGTTTCAATGAACGCAAACTGCCAAAACATAGAAATAACAAATTCTGAAAATCAATTGGGCGCGTAAATGTGGAGAGAATGAGTTTTAGCTCCGGGTTGTAAATGTTTGCAGGATGCCGCTGTGCAAGAGCATTCTATCGCTTACTAACTGCCCTCTTGCATATCCTCTGGACTATCGGGCAATTATGCAGATTTAGGGGCATAAGATATCTGTGATTGGAAAGTAAATTGATAAGGGATGAATTTATTTTACAAACTAATTTGATATGGGATTGTTACTCAACAAAGCCACTTTTTATTCAAGTGCAGCACTGGAGGTCTTATTTGGATATGCTGTACGTGTACAAATTGAAGTAACAACCCATAAATCATTGCTTCACTTTAGGTGAGGGGACACAAATACAATGAAATTATGATATATTAAGCATTATTAAGCATTTTATTAAGCATATTAAGTCAATTTCCGCCATATGACTCATGATGTTCATGCATGATCATGAGGATCATGATAGGTTGATGATTTTTTAGGAATTTCATTGCTTTTTCAGTAAATTCATGGTATCATCATGATGATGATTCTTTAAGATTTTCATGTAAATTAATTACAGTTGTTCAACCATTAATTCATGGATGAAGTCATCCATGAACCAACATTTAATCATGTTAGTTCATGAGAATTCATGCTCTAGTAATGCATGAATGTATCATGAACTAATGCATTAATTCATGCATTAGTTCATGAGAATCATGCATGAACTCATGTACCATTAATATAAAGTGTTACCAGCTTGCATTAGTAAAAACGATGTGGAATTATTTTTTCACACACTAAAGCCCTATTCGGACGGGATTAGTATTACCTGTGGACCTCTGATAATTTGTGATAATCACAGAGGATGTCTGAGATCTCAGTCCTGTGCGAATGCGCCATGTCTGTAATTTGTAAAGTAATAATTCCACCGCAAATTACCTCCTGTATTTAACCAAACACAGACATCCTCTGATAATACTTATCCTGTGCGAATCTGCATGTCAGTGATTGTGATCGCTATTGTCGCTTTTGCTTGACTTTCAGCGTTGTTTTTATCAATGAGCAGAGGAGTCACGTATCGCGGCCGTTGACACCTGCAGAGTTGCGGCTGCTGCTGTCTGTGTGAGGTCTATGGAGAAGTGTAGACTGATGGGTTGCGTTCGTATGTTTACTCTGCGTCTCTGCACAGACGTGTTGCAGAGTATTTGAGACGTTCACGGGTAGTCGGTACAAAAAGTATTGTTTTAACATTACAGAGAGTACAGGCCAGAGAACTGTAGAGCAGTAAAATCCACATGAATGTGTTTGTCCTTATGGTCTCCATGGCTTCTGTGGTCAGACGCCAGTCTTTATGAACTGTGTGAAGCAGAAAGACCCGCGCACGTGCAGCCGTCATGTCAGATGTCAGTGAAAATTACAGACATTGCTTATTCCGTGCTAATGCCACTGCACAATCTCAGACGTCCTCTGCGATTATCACAAATTATCAGAGGTCCACAGGTAATACTAATCCCGTCCGAATAGGGCTTAATTTGCACAACTTCCACGTATTGCAATGGGACATAATAGTGTTGCCACGGTGGTACAATAACAATAAATTTCTGCTCATATTTCTGCTCTCATCTCCCCAGCTGTGCAGATGATGGAGAGAGACAGGACCAGGGACTTTTCAGATAGAAACACTGAAGCTGGCCGGATGAAGCCAGCTTCAGTGTTTCTGAAAAATCATATTTAAACGCATTGAATTCCTGAAAGAAAGTCCTAGTTGGGTCACACTTTGATTGAAAACAATGGAACTATACTACTGAACAGATTCATTCTTTGCATGTTATTATTGTAATAGTTTATGTGGTGATCTGATTTGAAGGAGCAATATGTACAAATCAGGCCAAAAGTGGCACTGCAACCTCTCCCACTCGACCTGACACAGGTTGCCAGAAATGCAGTCAAATCAATGAAAATATGAAGGCCCCTACACTACTGGGCCATCTGTCTATATTTATATCAACCACACTTTACTCATAATAGGCTATGGGTGAAGTGTCTTGCTTAAGGACACAACAACAGTTTGGCACTTGAGTGGTTCCACCCCGATGCAGGAGGGTCTAAGGACGGCATATATATGGTTATTTCTGGACAGCGGCAGCTCTTATATGTCTATTAGTACCATACGAACCAGCCCGGACTCTGAGGAGCACAGGGACTGGACTCCTGTTAGAGCCCAGAGTCAGAACTAAACATGGGGAGGCTGCTTTTCAGATTCATGCTGCTAAAATCTGGAACAATCTTCCTGAAGATGTGAGACAGGCCTCCTCAATGACAATGTTTAAAACCAGGTTAAAAACGGTTCTGTTTAGCTGTGCATACAACTGAGGGATTTTATATTTTTAGCTTTCTTTTTAATGTTTTGTGATTATTTATGATTTTAATGCTGTCTTATTTTGTTCAGCACTTTGAATTGCCTTGTGTATGAATTGTGCTATATAAATAAACTTGCCTTATTATCATTGTATTTCGAACTAAGATTGAAACTGTTTGATTCTCTGATCTGTTGTTGAGGAACCGACAACTTTGTAAAGTCTACAGTACCAAGGCGACACCTGGTATAATTTTCCACAAACGTAGATTGAATTTAATTGAACGACACGTTTGTAACAGGGGTAAACACAACAGACTGTACATAGATGGACAATGCTAACCAGCTCCTTCATTGAAGCCAGATAGGGAAGTGCTCATGGACGAGGTTTTGCTCCAACTTGCCCTGGCTCCTTTTGACTTACATGTAAAAGCTCCTCTATCACAGTAACCGTTTGTGTCACACTCACCATTTTGGGCTCAGATATCCCTGGTTTAGCATGTTTATATTGTGATATTGTCTATTTTTACAAAGATAAATCCAGGCATGGGCCATAATAATTGACCAATGGCTTCATTTGTGGGGGAAACTCCAGCTTGCCTTCGCAACTGTCTTTGCAACACATCTGCCCCGGTTATGTTATTGCACAAACACATCATCAGCAGAGTGAAACTAACCAGTGTATTTTACCAGAAAGTTCAAAAAGTTAAAAGATAAAAGGCACATATGCAACAAGCACAAACACAGAGCAAAGGTCCCACGTGTGGCTTCAAACCAAAAGGAAATGTCTTTACTTTCCTCTTCCCAATTACGCCTAATTAAAGTGGCAGCTAAAGCCCCACATCATCACTTGGAGACGACTTCCCCATAAATTTACAGAACAAAGACAAAACTTGAATTAGAAATGAGGAAATTTATGAGGACTAGATGATCAGAGGCGTGGGCACTCGCAAAGGCACTCTTCCCAGAAACACTAATTACTCGGCCAAGTTAATTAAAAGCAGGGAGACAGTGATCGAAAGCTTCAACAGAAAACAGAAATGGTGCCACAGACAGTTCACGTCTTGATGCTTTGTAGTAGTTACTTATGAAGACACATTCCCATAAAAATGCGTCTTTTGAGATGTGTACTCGTTTTTTCGACGCCGCTGACGAGTTGTGATTAGGGCTCACTGGATAGGACCACAGCAGATGCTTCTCATTCAGAGGAGAATCTGCTGGGGTTCAAGAACAATATAAACATAAGCACAAGGCAGCTCCATCTACTGGTGTAAATGGAATATTGCATTTTGGCTTTTATGAGAAATTAAAAAATTAATTGACAGCACACAATTGGAAAAGATGTTGTGGAATTTCCAGTATGTGTCTTTTATAACTGTTCTTTATTCTGTTCTATTTATAGGTTTTTTTATTTCTGTGTCCCATCTGCGAGGGGTTAACTCCTTTTGCAGATCGAAAATCATTGGATCTGAGTTTACCGTGATGAATGTAATCTCTATTGAGTCGTTAGAATTTAGCATTTAGCCTAGCCATCTCCTCAGCCGCTAACGGAGCCCGTGGGGAGTAGCGCCACAATCTTTGCCAGCAATTACATTTGCTAAACATTCCTCTTGCTCCGGCTTCAATTTATTGATAGAACTAGTCCGGAATACTTTACTATCGCATTCTTCACCATTGCCAAACTACAACCTGCCTGTTGGGCACAAACTCTTGATGTCACCCACACCTAGCTACAAGACCCGCCTCCCGCGCTCACTGATTGGTCGGATGGGATTCAACCGATGTAATCGCAAACACAGGGACAGGGAAATGATGATTGACCAGAGTGTACGGATGGCTAAGGTGCTATATTCAAATAAATTATATTCCATGTATTTGTGTATAGCCCAAAAACAGAACAGCAGTCATCTTGGGAGAACTTTACAAAGTTGGCAATTCCTCAACACAGGGAACGCAATAATAACAAACACACAGGAGCCATTGGTCCAAAGAGATCAGGATGACCACGGTCTAGAAATGTTTTGTCCAGAAATGATCATCACTGTCCTTAGATACTCCTGCATCAGCATGTACTCAGTGTCATATAGTCAATCATTTTTCAAACTTGATTGACAAAATTGACGCATGTCAATCATTATCATAGTCCTCCATGGTTCTTTTACATAACTGTGGTCCTCCATGGTTCTTTTACATCAGATTCAGATTCAGTTTATTTGTCATTTGCAGTAAAAACACCACATTGGAATACATTAGCAAAAGTCTCCAGTGTGCACAGACAAATACAGACATAAAACAACATTAAAAGACAAAAATAAAACAAATAAAACAGTAAACAAATGTCACTGTGAAATCGATCGACTAAAACAGTTTCAAAACAAGTGCAAATCATTAAAGTGCTCTGTTCACACTGATAACAGCCTGTGGATAAAAACTGTTAGCGTAACGAGACGTCCTGCATCTCAGAGAACGATATTTTCTGCCAGAGGGAAGAAGCTGGAACATGGCTTTCCCAGGGTGGCCAGAAGAGTCGTTGATAATCCTAAGAGCTTTGTTTAAAAGTTTGGATTTATAAAGAACTCTGAGTTTACGCAGAAAGTAGAGACGCTGAAGAGCTTTCTTAACGACTCGGTCAGTGTTTTTAACCCATTTCAGGTCGTTAGACAGAGTTAAACCCAGAAACTTGCACTCCTCTACGATCTGCACCTGGGAGTTGTCGATTACGACAGGCAAATGAGAACTATTGCGACTGAAGTCGTAGACCAGTTCACATGTTTTCGATGCGTTCAACTGGAGGTTGTTAGTTTTACTCCACTGAACCACATTTTGTATCTCTGCTCTATAAGAGGATTCATCAGTGTTACTGATGAGACCGATGATGGTGGTGTCATCAGCATATTTGATGATCAAGTTTGAGTCAGAGGAGGACACACAATCGTGAGTGTACAAAGTAAAAAGCAAAGGACTCATAACTGTGGTCCTCCATGGTTCTTTTACATAACTATGGTCCTCCATGGTTCCTACTTCGAACATGTGAGGGCACAGTGGAAGCAGTGTTGTCAGTAGAACGCATCCTTTTTGTTCCTTATCAACCAATGTATTTCAAGATGGCGCTGTGACGGAGTATTGCTCTCCCCCTGTCACTAATGGCGCTTTTCCACAGCACCAGCACTACACCACTCTACACGACACGTCACGACCCGGTCGAGTACGCGTGCTTTTCCACATATCTCCATCGGACATCTTCAAGTGGGTGGGCTTTTCATACCACCGCTACCGTTGCGTCATTTCCGCTACCGTTACGCCATTTCCGCGCGACTCACGAGCATGAAACCAGGAAAAACATTACATCCTCAAACAATGGAGGACTCCGACACGATCGTGGTGTTGCTGCTCTCTCTGTGGCTACTAGTCACAAATAGACTGAAAAGCCTGAGAAGAATCCAGGCGGCGAGACACCAAAGAATGACGAAGTTATTGAAAACCTTGCAGGAGTTTGCAGTTGAGGACAGGAGACAACGAGCTGAAAAAAGACGGCGTTTGTGGGTAAGCTAATATTGCTATCGCTAGCTTTGTAGCAGCCGTCCTGAACAAAATGGCTGCTGGCTGTCTCTGTAAATCATTAAAATGTGTATGCTGTATGTGTGTGTTTCAGATGCTTCTCGGGTTGCGTCGCCGCCGCAAGCCATCGGTGTGGGCCTTAAACCGAGCCTCCGAGTGGTGGGATATTGTAGTCCCAAGCTTCAACAACACGCAGTGGGTGCAGAATTTCCGCATGTCCAAAGAAACGTTTGATGACCTCTGCACAAAGCTGCGCTTGATTATGGAGCGACAAGACACTACTTACCGGGTATGTGTGCCCCTAAAGAAGAGAGTGGCTATCGCACTCTGGAAACTTGCTACTGGCTCTGAGTACCGAAGCATTGGTCACCTTTTTGGAGTCAGTATAACAACGGTGTGCCGCTGTGTGCAAGACTTTTGTGCTGCAGCAAATGCGGTGTTGGTCCCAGCGCAGATCCGTTGTCCTACTGAGGAGAAATTCAGGGAGATTGCTGCCTACAACGAGAACAGATGGGGGGTCCCACACTGTGTTGGTGCCATTGATGGATCCCACATCCCTATCATGGCTCCACAGGAATGTCATTGTGACTATTTCAACCGCAAAGGGTGGCATTCCATTATTCTCCAAGGTGTGGTTGATGGAAAGGGGTTGTTTTGGAACGTGTTTGCCGGATTGCCTGGGAGCTTGCATGATGCCAGGGTCTTGAGACTCTCTAACTTGTGGGAGTTAGCCTGCCGGGGAAGCCTCTTCCCAGCTCACACAAGAGAAATTGGTGGGGTGACTGCTGGCTATTACCTCCTAGGGGACTCCGCTTACCCCCTGCGGAACTGGCTCCTAAAACCTTTTCAGGACACCGGACGACTGACAGACGAACAGCAACTATTCAACAGAAAATTCAGCAGAGGGCGGGTGGTTGTTGAAAATGCTTTCGGCAGGCTTAAAGGAAGATGGCGCTGTCTTCTGAAAAGGAATGACTCTGACACTGAACTGGTAAAGTCTATGGTGCTGGCTTGTTGTGCTCTGCACAATCTGTGCGAAAACCATGGAGAGACCTACGTGACAGAATGGGACACACCTGTAGCAACAGTTCAGCCTGTGGTAGCAGTGGCACAGGGTGCAGATGAGGGGGGCAGTGATGTTAGGGAGGGTCTGATGCGTCACTTTCTGTCCAATGTCTGAACATTTTGCCCGTTTTGGAACAACAAATAAACCTTTTTGTATTCAGCAAAAATGCCTTCTATTCATATTTCACTCCTGGGAAAGTACAGGTATTACTCATATAGGTCACATTACAGTCACCACTCACAGAACAGTCGCAGGAATATGCCATCTGCTGCAGATGCTTCCTGGAATACTCACAATGAAGAGCAATAATCCTAAATAAAATCAATATCCAAACAGTTATTCAAATCAATATCCAAACAGCCCACAACCTGGGCCCATTTAAACGCAGAGCTTCTAAAGTTCACTCCCAAAAACAAACTCAATTATGCAAATGACTTACAGGAATTGACACTACCCAACACGATGTCAAGACTTTGCATTTTCTCCAGATGCCAATTTCTGGACCCAAATCCGCAACATTTACTTTATGGCCAAAAACTCAAACATACAACTCAAAGTCCTCCATAGATACCACTACAGAGACCGCTAACTTTTAAAAATGGGTTTCAGCACTTGCTCGCATTGCACAAAAATAGTGCTGATAACATTAATATAGATATGGATGTTAATAGCAATAATGAGAAACTCAAGAGGGCAAGTGGAGAGGTCCAACGCACCACTAGAACAGGACACAATGTAGTGCAAGTATTGACAGTCATAATGGATTCATTTTTTGTGCTGTTACTTGTTTTGTCATTGTAACCTTTTGGTGGGATATGCATGTATGTGTTCATGTATATGCAGAGAGCCAATATTGCATATTAATGAAATATTAATTCATACATTTTCAATCATACACCCATTAACCATTCCCACCATTACAAATACCTTTATTCCCTTTCAGATTTGGATCAGCCACTCGCACGTGCACACACAAACTCTTTATCGTGCCTTTCTTACCCACTTTCCTAGCTTATTGTATTGTAACCAACACTGTACATTATCAGTAGTCTGTATTGTTCCCTGTAGGCTCCTCACTTAAATAAATAAACCTTCTATTCCTAAATTTACCACAATTAAGGATTTACTGACAACAAATAATGTGAAACCTTTGGTTTGCATGTTAACTCATGTGTACCGAGAAATGAAACCTGGCTTGGAAAAAATCACACATTTATTTAAAAAAAACAAAATTTTAAAGTGCACCAATAAAATTATTTACAAAGTGTCTTGGTGAAGAGTGTCTTGGTGAAGTGTCAGTTTCGGCGGCCACTCATGGCTTCCACCAGCTGGCCCAGGAGACCAAGAAATGATTGGTTAAATGCAGCCGCCTGTGCATTTTCCTCCCTCCTCAATGTCGCTTCCAACTCTTGCGACTCTCTGACGAGCTGGAGTTGCTGTGTCCGGTTCAGCTCCTGCTGCACCACATCTTCAGCTTGGATCTGCCTCATAATTTCTACAGTCTCCGTCTGGAAGAGCGCCCTTTTTCTCTTCCCTGTACAACAATAAAAAAAGTATTAACAGTTGGTAATTATCCAAAGCAGTGACATTTCTGGAGACATACTTTTATGTAGGCAAAAAGATTATTACGTTTCAGACCAGTATATATCACACTACCCCGAGATTTTGCAACAACTACCCTTTCAAAGAGGAAAAACCTCCACTTAAAGTGTTACGTGTGGGATCATTTGACTTAATTGCAAATCGGGTAATGTTTGTATGTCATGTATCACGCTTTGTCAATAAACAATATTTAATGGTCAATGTTTAGGCATTTTAGGACAAAGCATGAGCATGACTTAAATACACCCAGATTAATCAAATCAGTCAGTGCAGCTAAACTTACATTTCGCTGCATTTCTTTTTCACACCAAAGTGAAGTGGTATTGTATCACAAATTAGATTTTTTATTTGGAAAAAGATCACTGACAGGTGGTCCGATTCCTTTTTTATTGACATTCTCTAAAGCTAGGGTGATAGTGTCCAAACTATGCATTAATTGGACATACTTCACCGAGTTGAATGCAATTACTTCTGAGATCCACCAGGTGTCGGTATAGAGCTGCACTGTTGCGGCACAGTATCAATGTAGTTGTATTATTATTTTTTTGCTGCTATAGGACATGAATTTCTCCCAGGGTGATGAATAAAATATCTATCGATCATGTATTATGTTTGCCTTACCCGTGACCACACGCTGTGCGCTGCTAGACGTGTTGCTCGCTATCGAAGGGAACGCATCAGGCGTCGAAGCAGCAGCTGGTTCTGGAGGGATTGGAGACGGGGACCTTGGGGGGTCGTTCGACGCTTCACTTGCGACAAGGGATTCTATAATAAGACAAACACACACAACGACTTAAGTAAAAGCACAAAACTGAATGGCAACACGTGAAATGGCAAGATGTAGCACGTGTTAGCAGCTTGCTATCGATAGCTTAAAGTAGCTAGCTCACTTTGTACAGCAGACAACAATCAAACGTTTACATGAATAAATACATTCCAGTGGGCATTGAGCCACAGGTTACGTGATAATGCATTTTCACAATAACTACAGATAAAAGTTACAAAGCACTTACCATTATCGCCCATTCTCGACGTGGAAGAAGAGTCCAGAGCACACTCCCGTCCATTGTTTGCAGGCCTGTGGCCATAAATGGCATCCATCTCGGCATACCACCTCCAGGTCTTCCGATTGACCCCACTTCGGCCGTTGTGGTCCTTTATGGCCCGGTAATCGCACTTCATCTTCTTAATCTTGTCCCTGCACTGCTGATGCGTACGGTGGTAACCGTGTGTTAGCAAGAGCTGGGCGATCTCTTTATAGACCTTCTCATTTCGCGTACTGCCATCGAGCTCCTTCTGTATTCTGTCTTCGGCCAGTAAAGACAGAAATGTTTGGACCTCATCAACAGACCACGGTGTGGACTTTTGCGGCTTGCTGGATTCCATTTCTCGAGTGCAGTGCGTATGCTCACAGGGCAGTTTTAAAAATGGCGGGGTTGAATCTTGTCTCTCAATACGGTCAGACGTCGCACTTATGACGCTACCAGTGACGACAGTCGTTGGCCAATAGTGTGAGAGAGCCGTTGGCCAATAGCGTAGGCAGTCCGCTTACGTCACGAGCGTGTAGCTTTTTGGAACCGCTCCAGAGGCGGTCCGAAAATAGAACACAATACCTAGCTTCAACGCTAGTGGAAATGCAAAAGTAACGCGCCGTGTCGTGTAGAGTGGTGTAGTGCCGGTGCTGTGGAAAAGCGCCATAATGCTCTAGTTGTGCGTGCACTCTGGCCATACTCCCTGGTGCGAGACGCGCGCTCCCGCGCAGAGTTTTACAAACCACAATTAAGCATGTTGTACTCACCGGTCCCGCTACGTAATCACAGGTCTCCACACATCCCTTCGTTTTCTCCCCTCCATAAACCAGACGGTAGCAGCATCCATGGCTCGCTGCAGCTCGGGGTGCACACCGGGTTCGCGCGCGCCTGTTCATGCTCTCCTCCTTCCGCGTACGTAGTACCAGGTGACCGGGCAAACCGAGCGCATCTTTGGGCTATGCCATTTATACTGGGATTACGTGCGCTTTCACGCTTTGTTTTTTTAATGTTCCTTTGTTTAATGATATCTCCCATGTTCATGGATAGGAATTAAAGGGGAGGTAAGTTGAAATACTACTATTGATAATTTGAGAGGAGTTTCAACCAGAAAGGGTTGTTTTGTAAAATTATATTAACTATTTTGTGTAACGACCATGGGAGGGGCTTGGGGCTTAAGAAGGGAGCTGTTTGGGCTGTACAGGGAGTCTGCCTGGTTGCAGAGAGGGCAACATCAGGCCATTGTGGCATCCTGGCATCCTGAAAGGTTATGTACACAACTTATGTACATTTGTAAATATGTACATATATTGTTTTTTCACATGTCTGTAAATAACCCTGGGGAAATAAACTGGATAAACAGTTTTTTTTGACTGGCCATTGGTTTTTTGAGAAGTGTTCCCACAACAATGAGACTTGGGTGGCATCTCTGACTGCCACCCCCCTG